ATAGATAGATAGATAGATAGATAGATAGATAGATAGATAGATAGATATATGTGTGTGTGTGTGTGTGTGTGTGTGTGTGTGTGTGTCTGTGTGTGTGCGCGCGCAGGGGTATGGTACCTGCAGAAGCCAGAGGCATCAGATCCTCCTGGAGCTGGAGTAGTGGTTATGTACTGTCTGATGTGGGTGTTGGGAATTGAACATGGGTCCTCTGCAAGAGCAGTATGTGGCCTTAACTGCTGAGCTCTCTCTAGCCCAACACCAAAAACAGGAAAAAAAAATAGCTTTGACTCATGCCTCCTCTTGATCCAATTTTCTTACCATCGGTGCTAACATAATCAACTCATAGATAGGCAATGCAACTTCGCTCTGAATATGTATAATTACTGGAAACACAGAATTAGAGAAGATACTAAAAAAGCTCCTGGCCCAGGACTGGTGGCTGCTTTTGCTTTCTGTCTCCAGGGTAACAATGCATGCCTGTTTTGATGGTCCTAATGGACTTGCAATTTTTTTTATCCAAAAACCCACCCATACTTTTCTTAATTAAGGTAGAATAATATGTCACGTGTGTGCTGCATGTTCTTTATGACTCTCATTAAAGGGCTTCACTGTTCCCCCAGGTTTTCACTACAGCAAGAATGCAAACAGCTTCAGTTTTAGAGAGTTCTGGGCACTTCCAGAAGTGGGGATTGCTTCATCTAACAGTATCAACATGGATTCTAGAAAGACAGCCCTAAAATGGCAGGGTGCTTTGTAAGATGCCAGCCAACAATCTGGCTTGTGGTCTGGCCAAGGTCCACTTCTCATCCCTAAGTCATTATTCACTAGAGTTTAGAACCAACTAGAAACTATGGTGATTGTAAAACTAAAAAGCAAGTTCAACACGGTAAGAAGGGACAAGATCCACGTAAGAGCGAATCACATCCTATGAAAGGGTCCCTCACGTTCAGTGACAGCGACCACAGGGACCTGGAAATCCCAAATGCAATACTGGTCCTGAGAGAAGAGAACGAAATCCCGAGGTGTACAGTTGACCCTCTGTGAGCGTGAGTTCTACATCCATTGTTCTATTGGTTTAATGTGGTTCCGACAGAATCCCAGCAGTAGATTTTGAAGGTAGAGATGACTCATTCTGAAATGCAGGTGGAAAAGCACAGGCCTCAGGACTGAACCACCTTGCACTGAAGAAGGTGGGGATGATATACTTGCAGATGTTTTAATCACCCAAGGACTGCTTTCATGAACAGTATGGCACTGGGAGAGCATTACACAGATTAAGGGGACAGAATAGAGAACCCAGAGACAGAGCCACATAATTATATCCAGCTGACTGGGTTTTTGTTTTATTTTTTTTTCAGTATGGGAGTTGAACCCCTGGCTTCACATGTAACAGGCATGTTCTCTACTACTGAGCTACACCCTGTGCAAGGAGAAAAATAGGGACAGAGTAGGAAGAGAGGGAGAGAAGAAACAGGAAAAAGAGACATCCTTTTATCAGTGCCTCAGAGAGAAAGAGAGAGAGAGAGAGGTCTGATTACCTGGTGTGCTGAAGTCGGCAGCAGTGTTTGGGTCCCCGGAACTGGAGTCAATCACCTGGTGATCAACACTTGCAACCTACAGCAAGAAAAAAAGCATCACTCTTGCCCAGGAGAACACTCGGGTAGCCGCCAGCAACACAGCCAGTCCTCTGGGTCCTCAAACTCCTTTGATTCAATCAACCCAGATTCCCAATTACCAGGGCAAAACTTCCCAGAAAGTTCCAAAAGGTGAAATAGGAGTCTCTGTGCACCACCTACTATGCTGAGTTTTGGGGTGCATCCGGTTAGGCTTAAAGTAGAGGGAAGGACTGTGTAGATTCTGTGCAAACAGCACTCTGGTTTATGTAAGGGGCCTGAGCATCCATGGGCTTTTTATCTGGGTGGTGGCGGGGGGGGGGGGGGGGGGGGTGTGGAACATCCTGGAACAGAGCTTCTCAAGAAAAACTGTGTAGGTTGGCTTCAAGGCTCATATGGAGAGAAGGACTTGAGACACACAGACACACACACACACACACACACACACACACACACACATTCCTCTCTTCTCACGGGTTACGGGGTGGGCTGTGAGAATTGAGAGCTCACGTCATCATTGCTAAGCTCAAAGCCCGTTTCCCTGGCCTTCTGCAGTTACAGCACCTTCCAGGGCCCTGGAACACTCTGAATATACTCACCTTCCACCAGGGCACTATATGGAACCAAGACAGGTGTGTGGGATAATTTTATGTCAACTTGACACAGGCTAAGGACATCTGAGTAGAGGGAACCCAGATTGGGAAAATACCTCCATAAGATTGGGCTGTAGGCAAGCCTGTAGAGAATTTTTTTTTTTTTTAAACTAGTGATCGAAGTGGGAGAACCCAGCCTATTATGGGTGGTGCCATCCTTGGGCTGGTCCTGGGTTCTACAAGAAAGCAAGCTAAACAAGCCATGAGGAGCAAGCCAGGAAGTAGCATCCTTCCATGGCTTCTGCATCGGCTCCTGCCCCCAGGTTCCTCCCCTGCTTGAGTCACTGTCTTGACTTCTTTTGATGAAAAACAGTGAGTGATATGGAAGCCAAATAAACTTGCTTTTGGCCATGGTGTTTCATCACAGCCATATAAACCCTAAGACAAAAGGCCATAGAGGATTCTTCATTGCCATGGTAGGGCATAGGACAGCCAGCCCCTTCGCCCCACCCCTTTCCAACTACCTTCTTTTACTCTTTTTTCTTGTGGCTCCAGGAAGAATAAATCCATGGGACAAATGGCTGTGAGACCTGATTACTTCACAGCAGCATGGCTAGGGGATGGGATGAGTACTGGGTAAGCGATTGCATCCCGAGTGAACTGGCAGCCTCTCCTTGACCTGCTCGTAGGCCACTCTCCCGCCTGAGCTCTGGGTAAGAGTCCAGGTGCCCACAGGGTGGGGTGCCAATGTGTCAATGATGATGTCACATTAAGAGCCGCCCTGACTTGGTGGAGTGTGGACTTGGGGAGTTCTCCTCATGCTCAGCTCATGCAGACTCATCTTGGAGTGCCTCTGATGTGGGGAGACGTCAGGAAACAGGACACAGAGGGCCAACCCCCCTGGCCTCCTGTCCCATCTAACTGTGCCTGTGCTGTGTGCCTGCTGCAGTTTCTACCACAACAGGCATAACTCTTCCACCGCTGCTCCAGGCATCTGGCACAGGCCCTGGCCTTGAAACTATCCTGTCCTCACTACACCTCTGCCAGCTCAGAAAACAATATATGGCTTCTTGTGTTATTTCAGAATTGCATTGGGGACACACTGGCAAGTAATGAGCTCTAGAGGAGACTGGGGAAGGTGAGGCAAGCCCCTGCGGCTTGGTCCAATTCCAGCTCAGGTAATTACATTCCTGCCTCCCATGCCGCCCGCCACTTCAATCAGATAGCTGGTATTCCTCATCTCTGCTCTGCAAACCGTGCTGAAAGAAGTTAGGGCAGGTGGCTTCAGATGGGACGCCAACACAAAGGGTGTTGCAGGGATGGCCAAGTGGGGTGCTGAGGAGAGCCGGAAATCAAGCTAAGGCAGGGAGGACAGCAGCCTCATGCTGCTTTTCATCCCACGGATATGATTTGGAGCAACAATTTACATGCTATTCTTCTTCCTGAGCCCTCGAGTCCTGCTGGGGAAGGACCCAAGGGTGAGAGAAGTCACGCCACCATCGCCACCATCAGTGTCTCCATGCCCTTTCCCTACTGTATTCACTGTGTGCTCATAACCAATTCCGAAAATGCCAGCTAGGATGCCTCCACTAAACAACAAAAAAAGATACTGCCCAAAGGGCTATTTCATTCCAGAACTCTCTTCCCATATCTAATCCCCACACCTATATATGAGACGCAGGCATATGTAGAGAGAGAAGGAGGAGGGGGAGGGAAAGAGGCAACTTAGGAACCTGCTGCCTGAAAAAGAAAGCTCCAGCAATAAAGAAATATAAATAAAACACGAGAAATAAAATCCACAGAGGGACAAGGTCAAGAGGAAATTGTATTTGCTTCATATTCTGCAGGGTATCGCTCACTTCCCTCTGGCTCCCTTATTCAAGCACCAGAAAATGTGGTTTGGAAAAGAGATGGCTCCTGGGAGTGTATCTATCACTTCTGAGTAGAGTGTTAGGGGTTTAATTTGAATCTGATGGCAGAGGCCTCCTCAGTGCACAAAGTTCACAGCACAGCAGAGCCAGTAAAGAGAGTGGGAAGGGAGGACATCTGTGGGGAGGGGGGCTGTCTGTGGGGAGGGAGGATCTCTGTGGGG